ATAGACAGATCAATGGAACCGAACAGAAAGTCCACATGTACCCCGATACATGGAGCTTTATGTGATAAAAGTGGCATTTCAATTAAATGTAAAGATTGAAACTACCATTGTTCAATAAATGATGTTGGGACAACTTCTGCATAGCAAACAATGCACCACAAAAAAGTAAAAATGCAAATGACAATATGGGGGAAATATGTACAATTTATATTGCAGACAAAAGGTTATGTTCCCTAATAGATAAATAGCACCTACATATGTGTGAGGAAAAGACAACTTACTCAACTGAGAAATGGGTAAAAGACAGGAATAGACTATTCCTAGAAGAAGAAATGTAAATGGCTCTTAAATATTCAAAAAGAAATGCAGCCTCATTAAACAAGATAAATGTAAATTAAAACGACACTGAGATGTCATTTAAAATCCAAAAGTTTAATAAAATACTGCAGTGTTTGGCTAGTGAGAACATCAATCAATCTAATCTCCAAAGAAGGGCAATTTGTCAGGCTCTCAAAATTATAAATGTATATGTTCTAAATTTTAGCAATTTAGTTTCTAGAAGTTTTCCCTACAAGTGTACGCACACATGTGTGAGGTGACATGTGAAGAGGCTATTTACTGCAGTGTTTCTTTTCGCAAAATATGGGGCATGACATAGAAAGAAGACTGCTAAATATGACAGTAAATCCACATGATATATACAAAAGAATGCGTCTTTTTTTTTTTTTATCCTCACCCGAGGATATTTTTCCATTTTTTGTACAGATAGAGTGGGAGGGAGAGAGAGAGAGAGAAACATTGACGTGAAGGGACACATCGAGTGGCTGCCACCCGCACGACCAACCAGGGCCGGGGACAAACTGCAACCGAGGTATGTGCCCTTAGTGGGAACCGAACCCGGGTCTCTCAGGACCGCAGGCCGACGCTCTAACTGCTGAGCCAAACCGGCCAGGGCAGAATGCATCTTTATGTAGTGATTTACAAAGAGCCTTAGAATACATTGTTAAGTGAAAAAGAGCTTGTTACAGAACAGTGCGTATAGAATGCTGCCACCTGTGAATCGTGGGTACGGGGAGTTGACCCTCTCTCCCCCAAAAGTGAACCCATGCTGCTCTCCCGGGCAACCCGAGGAGATGGGGCAGGATCCAACCCTGGTTCCTGCTTTTGCTGGTGAAATTGCTGGCGCTGCCCTAACTGGCTGAGCAGACTCAGGTGCTCAGGGACTCGTGCGGTGTTCACCCAGCCCCAGCAAGCCTGCATCCAACTGCACTGGTGGGAACAATACTTTTTGTTTCTTCGTGTACTAGGACTTCTTTCCTCCCGGACTGGGTCTAAGTATGGTGGGAGTTAGCCTTCAAACTTACTCTTGTTTTATTCATACCGGAACCTTGTTGACAGTATAAAAGACCACTGAAGAAACAGAAAACCACTTTCAGTTCCAATTTTGGAACTGGGAAATTCATCATTAATGAGATGAAGAGAACCCAGTTTTTACAAAGTGAATGTCCGTGGTTAGAGTATGAAATCCCACACAAGCTTGCTGTTGTGTTTTAACTACCTTCTTAATTGCCAGCGGAAGCTAGAGTTTAGACTACAGGTATACTGACTTGGTACTGGAAATAAGTTGTCCATTCAAAGATTCATCATTTGCCTTTGCCCTGAGGCTTAGCATAAGATGGGAAACATTTTTACGTTGGTAGATAAATGTCTATGTCTCTAGAATTTTTGTGGGTCCTGTAAGGAACTAATCATAAACTTGTGCAAAGATTTGGCAATAAGGATTTTTACTGCAGATGTGTTAATAATCATGAAAAAGGGGAAAGAAACATCCATGATGGCCAGCCATAGGAGGTAGGTTAAATTATAGTAGAGTCATATAATGGGATGCTTTGCAGCCATTTAAAAATAATGTAGAATAGCCCTGGCTGGTTTGGCTCAGCAGTTAGAGTGTCAGCCCGCGGACCAGTAAGTCGTGGGTTCAATTCCAGTTAAGGGTACGTACCTCGGTTTTGATTTGTCCCTGGCCCTGGTTGGGGTCGTGCAGGAGGAAGCCACTTGAGGTGTCCCTTTCACATTGATGTTTCTCTCTCTCTCTCTCTCTATTCCTCTCTCTCCCTCCCACTCTGTCTAAACAAAAATAGAAAAATGTCCTCGGGTGAGGATAAAAAAAAAGTAGAATAATGTTTAACAACATACAAAAGTGTTCATGATACATTGGGGGGGGGGGCTGGCCTCAAAATATGTCACATTAATGTTACACACACTCACACATTGAATGAGTATGCATTACAGGTTATTAGTGCTAGTTATATTTTTGTAATGGTGTATAGGTAAAGTTTTTATTTTCTCCTTAGGATTATAAATATTTTTCTATAACAAATGATTAATTTTTGCAATGAAGCATCTTATAAAAGCTATTCTGAGAAGGGGTGGAGACAGAAATGCCTCTGAGCGCCTCTTCCAATCCAGTTACAGCGAGCTAACGTAGGGAGCCGCCCCTAGAACCCGAATCTCTGCCTTGTCCTCCCAGGGCCACGCGGGCTCTGGCCAGTTGCTGTGGGATCCATCTGGACCTTTGCCCTTGTTCTCACTATTGATGTCCGGACACCAGGTGTCTGTGCTATCCACCTGAGCAGAGGCACTTGTAAGTACCTATAACCTGAATAAAATTCCCCTCAAGCATATTCCTGTTATTACTGGCAAGAAGGAAGAGAGTATATTTAAGAAATTCATGCTACCTTCAGGTAATCTAGAAGACCACCCCCCTGCCAATTTTGATTGAATGCTTTCTGAATACTTCAGTAACTTTTGAGAAAGAATTTTCTTGGGTGTGCAGCTGCAGCCTCCTGTGAGCACATAGGGTCCGTCTGAGAATTCCAGAGTCTGTTGCCATGGAAACAATAATCAAGTCACACTGATAGGAGGACCTCTCCTGAGCCCCCCAAGAACATATTCTTTCCTTTTATTTGGTTTCAATAGATGCAGAAGCCTCACTTTCTGGATAACCTGTTTTCCATGGCCAGACATAGAGGAACAGCTAGTCAAAGAGAGCAAATAATTTTCAACTGTTTAAGATGTCCCTCTTAGAAAGGGCAGGTTGAATTTTGATGGGTGAATTCTATTCAGAATTAGTTTCTGTTTTGCACAGTGCTTTTAAGAACTGGCCAACCTTTAAATAGGATTAAAGTTTTCATAGCTCCTAAGTAATAAAATGTTCAGTTGATGGATGCTTTTGTATCTTGCAAGATGCTGGAGCCAAATCTGTTATGATACGATCAGAACTCATCTCACGTGCATGTCAGGTTTTCCTACAAGACTTTAAACTACAAAGTGTTTTCTTACATCACCTGTATGTTTCTGCACCATAGCCCTATGATGTCAAATGCTAATGCAGAGTAGATTTATTGAAGACTCAGGAAAGCCAAGTGGATTTTCCTGGCTTTTCTGCAGCGCGTAGGAACAGGTTAGTCAGCATTCATTTCAACCAAGAGTGACCATGGTGCTGTGCTCTAGCTTCCCTGTTAATTGTTTATTTATTTTTATTTTTATTTTTTATTTTAGAGTGGGAGTGAGAGAGGGAGAAAGAGAGAGAGAGAAACATTGATATGAGAAAGACACATTGACTAGTTGCCACCCACACGACCCCAACCGGGGCCAGGGACAAACTGCAACTGAAACCGAGGTACGTGCCCTTAGCGGGAACAGAACCCGGGACTCTCTGGTCTGAGGGCCGATGCTCTAACTGCTGAGCAAAACCAGCCAGGGCTGTTCATTCTCTTTTGAGGCCCAATTATCATTGATCTTCCAGTTTGTGGCCTGAAGCCAACAATCTTGAAAATACCTGTGAAAAACAACAAGTAAGGAAAGAGACTCAGCAAGATTATGAGGGAGAGAAAGGGCAGGTAAGCAGCAACCCACAACGTGGGCAAACCACACCTTCTTTACCTTACAGTTCACATTTCCTAAACTTAAAATATTTGGAAACACCTAAGAAATGTGTGATAAAAGAACCCCCCCCCAAAAAAAAAATTCTGTAAAAACTGAAAACAATCTAAATGTTTATTAAGGGTAGAATGCATACATAAGTGGTGATATATTTATATAATGGAATAATACTCAGCAACACAAACAGAAAGACTTACTGGATGAAACTGAAATACACTGTGCTGAATGAGAAAACCAGGAGTCAAAAGAACATGTGCTATATGGTTCCAATGATACAAAGTTCTACCTGAATATACCAGAACTAATCCCCGGGGAAAGGAAATCAATCGGGCTAAGCTGGGAGGACAGGGGGTTGAGATGGACTGGGAAGGGGCACCAGGAACTTTCTAAAGTGAAGAAAATGTGTGCTCCATCTCGACTGGGGTGAGAGCACATACGTGGTGTATACATTTGTCAAAACTCATCAAACTGTACGCTTCAAATCTGCAGTTACTGTATATAAATTTTACCTCAATGAGAAATGTGTTTTACATAGGCTTTCTCTGTGAGGCTATCTTCTGAGTGCTTTACACGACTTGTTTAATTCTCACAAAGATATGAGATTGGAGATACGTTTATTCATATTTTACAGATGGGGATACTGAGGCCGAGAGGTTACATAAGTGTGGAAGGTCATGGAGCTCGTGTCTGGGGCCAGAGCTGAAATCCTAGCCGTGGAAGCAGCGCCGGATGTTGTTTTCCATTTCCCGAAAGCGCTTTTCCAAATGTGAGAGCAGAACAATTGCTCATATAAGCAGAACAGATCTGGTTGCTTTAACCATGCTTGTTTATGTTGGGTGTTGGGATGCTTTTAATGATTCCACTTAGCTTCAACGAAGATAACACTAAATTGCAGACTAGCCTTGCAGATTATCAGGAAGGCCAGTCTCCTGAACTTTGTTTGCTAATTACTGTACCACATGGTTAATGTAAGACAAGCAAATCACGTGCCTGACATTGCCAAGAGATGGGAGGTGAAGGTGCTTCAAGCATCGAACTTGAAAGAAGACATACCCGTGCTCTCCTCAGCGGCACATAGACTAAAATTGGAATGACACAGAGATTAACATGTCCCTTGAGCAAGGATGACAGGCAAATTAGTGAAACGTTCCATATTAAAGAAATAAAGGAAGACTCATCCACTCCAGTTTGATAGTTATCACTTATTATATTGTTTATTATATATAAAGAAAAATTAGTGCTGACACCAAAACATTAACTGTGACCAACTTACAGTGGGAATAAGAGTGAGGTAGGAGGAAATGCCCAATTTCTCAATTATACACCTGCATGTCATTTGCAATTTTTATGAGATCTTAAAAAGTTTTTTTAACAATGATCCAATTAACTGTTTCTGTGTATGTGAAGGTTAGCCATTTTGCAATATTCATTCATTCATTGAATGAATGTTTACCAAGTGTCTACTAGATGCCAGGTACTGGAGTTACATAGGAATTAGTAGTTCTAGTGGTCAGACAGACATATGGGCAAATAACTAATGAATGAGGTAGGTGCTCTATAGTCGAAGTGATTTAAAGGAGACTAGGAATACTGCCCAAGTCTGCTGCTAGCCATGGGTTTGGTGGCTCTGTATGACAGGTCGGAGAATAGGGGTGGGGTGAGGGGAGTTGAAGCATTTCTCAATGACCTAGGTAGGGTTCTACAATCCTCTATTTTATGAATATTACCAGAAACATATCTGTACATGGAAGATATAATGCTGATTCTACATGTTAACATAGCTTGTAAGACAAGTTTTATTCTAATCCTGGTTTCTCATGGTAGGGTTGCCAGAAGACTACTTTTTAAGGTTGTCATTTGAATGCTTTTCTCTGTTGCATGGCTACAGGCTATATCCTTCTCAGTATTAGTCACCATCTTCCCATTTTGCAAAGGGTATAATGGGTAAGAGGAGCTGACTTGGTGCAGATTTATTGTTTATTTTCTAGAGTCTTTTGATATGAAAATGACAAATAGCTCTACTAATGACCACAGTTGAAAGTACTCCACATCCAGGGGGGCAGTCACACTGCTTTGTAATATAAAGAAAACAATTGTTATCATAAGCTGTGTGGTCTTTAGATCCAGAAAAAGAATTGGTAAATGTATATGTTCCTTCCTGCTTGAGCTTAAAAAAGTTTTTTTTTTTTTTTTTTAATAAGTAACAGGTTGTAAAAAGTAGTTAATCACAGGACCATTTGGTTCATTGGCATCATATGGTGTGCCTGTACCAGACATCTCTTAAGTCCTGTGCTCCTGCCTGTTTAAAATGTGAATGATGGCTTCCCTTCCCCCGCTCCAGCACATTCCAGGTAGTTTAATCCTTCCTGGCACACTGTGTCCTTCAATACCTTCTTTAAAAGCATGCTTGATTTTGTAATTGTTCTGTAATTGGAAGTAAGCTTCACTGGGCAAGTGCACGTCTTAAGCCCTTCACAGTGGCCTACCAGCCTAATTAAACCACAGAAACATAAAAGCAATTAGTTGGGAGCATTTGCAAAATGAATGCATGTTAGTAATCTGTGTAGTTACAGAGACCTTGCCACTCAGATCTAACTGCTTGGTTGTACTGATTTTACCACAGGGGGAAAAAAAAACACAAAGAAAATTCTCTGTAGTCTATGACTCCAATTTATTGTTGGCTGAGGCCCTAAGGCTTCTGTATGGCCAGATAATTTGTTTATAACCACAGTTTCTGCATTGGGGAAAGAAATGCCATTTCTGTCCCCCTCCTTTTATTGGAAAACAACAAGGAGAATAATAAGCAGTGGAGCAAACTTCTGTCTTCACTGAAATGAGGAGACATTCATATCGGAACTCATAATGTTGTATTTGAAAAAGGGCTTTCAGATTAGTGTCAATGGTACCAGCATGAACACAGACTCAGAGAGAAGGCTGGGGCTTCAAATTTCAGGGTCAGACTAAACAGAGTGCAGAATTCTTCAAAATAGATATCCTAGATTTGGTGTAAAACGAGGTCAGGGTGCCTAGATTGACAGCAACATGCTATCAGTACTGAGTGACCTCAGACAACAACTGAGCAAACACATGGACACACCATCTTAGAAGACTGTGGGGTGGGAGTGGGAATAAACTGGGGAGGGGGCAGACAGCCCTTCAGCTTCCATGTCTGCCAAAGAAGAGTGAAGACCTCACTATGTGTCAAAACCCTCCATTAAGTGGTTTCACTGGGACCATATAGCATGTGATCTCGTTTATGTAGACTTGTACACGCACACACAATGGCAGGAAGGGAAGGCTAGACCTAGAACTATACATAATGACTTATAGCAATTTCCAAGGTATATTGCCAAGTAAAAAGAAGTTGAAGGTGATATGTAAATTGACTCATTTTATTTGTATAGAAACAACAAATCTTCCATATTCTTGTATGTTTGGAGAAAGGTGCATATGGCAGTCAATGAACCATATTAATCTTAGAGGAGGGGTACTGGAAAGAGCTGGGGTTAGCAGAGTGGGGAGAGAGTGTGTGTGTGTGTGTACAGACAGTCCCACACTTACGGGTTTTTAACTTTACGATGGTGTGAAAACAGTATACATTGAGTAGAAACCATGCATCAAAATTTGAACTTTGATTTTTCCCTGGGCTAGTGATATGTGGTAACATACTCTCTCTCAATGCTGGGCAGTGGCAGTGAGCTGCAGCTCCTGGTCAGCCATGCAATCTTAAGGGTAAGCAACTGATACTCTACAGTGTACTGTGTTGCGAGCATTCTTTAGACATTGTGTTTTAAGTTTTCGCATCCTATCATATCTACAAAAGGCCCCTCTGTGTCTTCTGTTTCTGGTGAGAAGGGGAAGACAAGTATTCTTTAGATAAAACTCGAGATAATTATCCAAATGTAGGCTAATATAAATATTCTGAGCACATTTAAGATAGACCAAGCTAAACTATGATGGTTAGTAGGTTAGGTGTATTAAATGCATTTTCGACTTAGGATATTTTCAACTTATAATGAGTTTATTGGGATGCAACCCCATCATAAATTGAGGACCATCTATAACATCATTTTAAAATTACAAACTGCTATTACTTTTCATGATTTGAAAAAAAATGCTTTACAAAACAAAACAAAAAACAGGGCAATAATTGTTTTCCTTGAAATAATAAATTAAAAAAAGAGCTCAGACGAGCTAAGCGCTACAAACATTCAAGGAATAGTAATGGTAACAGGCATAATTTGAAAATTAGTTGGTCAGAAAGATACACTAGAAACAGCAAGGAGATTCTCTTAGAAAGAGCTCCTTAAAAATAAAGCAGAATAGAAAAAAATGCAAAAAGTTAGAAGAGAGAAAAATAATAGCCATAGCAAAGGAGACCCAATAATTGGCATCCCTGACATCCTAAGCCAAAGGCTTTTATGAAGGCTGACACCAGAACATAAAAACAGAGAGAAAAGACATATACATATGTTTTCGTAAAGTCTATATATTAAAAGGGCACGTTGAGCTCTAGGAAAAATTTGATACAATGATCAATAACTAGAAATATCCTGGTATATTATACTTCAGACGTAAAGAGCTCTTTGGGCTTGCTCCTTCACCACCGCCACCACCACCGAAAAGAAAGTCAACTATTCACACATAGATTTTAAAAAATTACTCTTGTACATGAACAAAAAGGAAAATATAAATAAATTATTTAAGGTATTTCAAAACCTTTTTCACATTCTTTTGTGTGTGTCAGTCCAGTCATTAGTGTTTGTGTTTTCTCACACAAACTGGTCTTTATGGTATGAAGAGCACTGGTGATGAGCTCTTCGTTCAAGAGCACCCACCGTCGTCTCTGCAATTTTCTTCTGAGACACTTTAAGTCTCAGAACCCATCAAAGAAGCAAGTTTGATGCTGATGCTTTCCTGGTCAGTGGACGCATCAATGGGATGTTTTCAGATCTCAACCAGGACTTATAGTTCTTCCTCAAGTGGTCCTTCTGTGGTTTTTTGACTGCAGTGTAGCACCATTTTCCAGCCCTGTCACTAAGAACACAACCAAAGTTGCACATGGATAGGCTTCCAGTTATGCCTTGTAACTGGTTGACTCCTTGAAGGGAGACATGGATATTATGAATCCATGTGGTCTATCATATTATTTCTTAAAATTATTCACTACCCTCCCTATGACAGGATAATTCACCCATGGCCATTGACATCAGATCTGTCATGTGATTACCTTTAGATAATGGAATGTAGTAGAAGTGAAAGGTGTCACTTCCCAGCAAATGTTTAAGAGCCATCATGTGTACCGCCTCCCCCCCGGCCTTCTCATAAGACCAACATGCCCCACATAGGGTCTAGTCCTTTAGCCTGGATCTTGGAAATGAAGACAACATGCCATATGGCCAAAATGGACCCTCAATAAATATAATGTGAGTGAAAAATAACCTTGTGAGCCATCAAGATTTTTGGCTTGTTACAGCAGCTCAGTTTAGCTTAAGATGACTGGTATAACCCTCTCAGCACATAGGATTTAAACCTCGTTTTAGAATAGACTAGGTGCTCTCCTGAAGGACTCTTGGTTTGTGGAAGACTTCCTCAGGGCAGGCAGGCAACGAGGCGGTGACTAATGATCGGTCCTCCTCCATGTGAGATTCAAGTTCAGGCAATTTCAGCTCAGCCACGGTGAATGCACAGTGACCTTACCTGAGATACATATATATATATGTATTTTTTAATCCTCACCTGAGGACATTTTTCCATTTTTTGTTCAGATAGAGAGGGAGGAAGAGAGAGAGAAACATTGATGTGAAAGGGACACATCGAGTGGCTGCCATCCACATGACCCAACCAGGGCCGGGGATAAACTGCAAGCAAGGTATATGCCCTTAGTGGGAACCGAACCAGGGTCTCTCTGAACCGCAGGGCGACGCTCTAACCGCTTAGCTAAACTGGCCAGGGCTACCTGAGATATTTTTAAAATGAGCCACTCTGGACTACTTAGAGACTCTACGTGGGTGTGACTGAGTCATAGTGCAGTTGTTGCGAGCTGTTGTTTATACCTGTATTCTTGTTAAATGTCCTGAAATTCTAAGGTTAGAAAACAATTTTGGGACTGGAAACACCTCACTTTGGAATGCCATAGTAGTTTTCAATAGGGAAGGGGCTAGGGAGGGGCGGGCAGGGGAGGACGATTCAGTAGATCTGGAAGAAGATGCAGTAGATCCAAAGGGTTCACTCCTGTTTTTCTTCTTTCCAATTAAAGCTGATTCCATGATGGGAGTATCAATCTGTGGAGAATAGCTTGCTTGTTTTTCTCCCCAAAGGGGAAAATTCAGCACCTGTGCTTAGAGTTGTGTTGAAATGACTGAACTCAGAATGCATTAGGGATCCAACTGCAGTTCAGTGATGATGGACTCAACAATTGGCAGCAGTTCTTCAGAGAATACAGGCTGTGGTTTCCTCCCGGGATGACTCTGCCGGGCCCGCTGGCAACAGTGCTAGTGGAAAGTGCAAACAGTTAGCTGAGCCTTAGAGACAGAAACAGCAGATGAGCAGAAGATGACACATCAGAATAAAGCACAGGGAGGAAGCCGATTTCCTCCCTCACATTCTGGTTAGGGTGGGTTAAGGACAGAGGCCTCAGAGAATTAGTTGTGACTCTCAAATCTTATTTGGCCTCAAGGACTTCCTCTATTTCCTCCAGAATAAACAAATAAAGGATCAAATCAATCCTTATGGAACACTTGCATATGAAGAAGGGCAGATGAGTGGAGGTGGCTGGCATGGGTCACTGGTGGCCCCTCATCCACAGTAGCTCATCACCATGTTGTCAGGACAGCCTGCATTGCTTGGTCTTCTTCAAAGGGAGGCAGTACCTAGTAACTAATACTAGGGTACTAGTTAAGGGCATGGGCTCTATAGCAGAAAGACCCAGTTTTTCTAGGATCTTTCTGTCTAGATTGAGCATGCACTCATTTTGCTTGGGTAAGTGATATAGCCTCTCCAAGCCCTGATTTTACCCAAGGCTTAACCAAACCAGAGTGCTCCCTTGAACAGTGGTTTCGAAGTTCAAGTGAGCTAATTCATACACAGTGCCTGCAACATAGCTGGGCATGTAAAATGCTTGAGCAGTGCTGGCTAGTATTACGGTTCCCAGTCTTAGCTGAGAAAAGTCAAAGTGAAAGGGGGTTAAACTTACTACACACATTCTTATATTTAAATAAAGAGATATGAAGTTACAAAAACAAGTGGATGGGGTCTTTAATGGATATAAAGAAGTTATAATCAAGAATACAATACCTGCTCAATAGACTCTGGCAACAAGATACTACATCGGTTGTGTTTCTAGGTAAACTGGAGTTGAAGACGTTCTCTAGACTGTGATGGCAGTTGACGTCTACAGGAGTGCCAGAGAGAATGCCTGCAAGTGGAGCAGTGCCCTTCGTATATTAATTAACAAGGTCCCTGAGCTCTCCTTCTGTTCTTAGCTTCTCCACCATGCCCCACGCACCATGCCCCACGCACCATGCCCCTCGCACCATGCCCCACGCACCATGCCCCATGCCCTGTTTGCTTAAAGGCAACTCTGCCTCTTTACAACGTGCTTAAAGGCAGCTCTGCCTCTCGGCTTCCTGCAGCAGTATACACTGCATACGCAGGTTGGAAACACTGTCCCCTGGAAAGCTGCCATCCTATGGGCACAGGGAGACAGGACACAAAGGACAGGATGCGGTACCTGCGATGCAGGCTGTCATGAAGCAGGCTGTGGTCCCTGCGATCAGAGCTCTCACTGCCCCTGAGGTGATGTCGTGCTTTCTGGAAGGAGCCATGGATGCTAGGAAACATGGAAGCAAGCACGAGAGACTGATGTCGAGACTATTGATTAGGATTCCAAATTCCCAGCCTCTGAGAATGGTCCTGGGGCCAGTGTCTCAGGTCAACTAACTTAAAAACAAAACCAACTTAGCTGGGAAATTCAAGATTCAAGAGCTTAGTGATGAATTTCACATCCAGAGAAGTTCTCTGGTGTGTGAGGAAGGGAGGAAGTTTGTCCACCAAAGAAACAAGTCCTCAGTTTCACCCAGAAGGCTCCTGGTATGTTGGGGGCATGGCAAGGCAAATGTGTTGCAAAGACGAATTCCAAATACCTGCAATCAATTCGTCACCATCTATGTCTATGCCCATGACAGACCTCCCGATTTAATCACAACATTTTCCCACTGAACTTCCACTGGACCTCAGAATCCTCCTCCAGGTGGCCATTATAAACCTCCTGGAATTGGCATACAAAGTGAAACATATGTGTCATCCCTGGGGAAAAACACCTGCCCACTGGAGCACATTCTTTCTCAGTTTGTCTTGGGTATACATAGGGAAACTACATTGCAGAGCAGGGATTAAAACACAGACCCAAAGGATTTACTACGATTGCAGCCCCCACCCCCGACACAAACAGTGTTAATGATATTCTTTCCACTTACTGAGCGCGCCGACCACTATTCCTAGGGAGCTGATGTTGGCAAAGCCACAGAGAGCATAAGTGGCAATGGTCTCCGAACGAATCTGCAAGTAACATAAACACACAGATGTCTACATGGTGCGACCCAGCTTATAAATCTGACAGCCTAACCAGACTTCCTATTGTGACCATGGAGACAGAACTGACAGGAAATGTACAGTGCGTGGTGTCCAACACTTGCTGCTTCCCAGACTCTTTTTTTTCCCATCTCCCCCTAAATTTTGAGGGAGAAAAAGGGTCTATGTGGATTCAGAGACTCTCTATAAAGGACTTGGGGTTGGTCGTAATGGCCTCTACAAATGACTACATTCTGCTCCATAACTTCTAACCTTCAATATGACCTGGCTTCCTGTTATGTGCCAGGCACAGTACCAGCTACTGAAGATACAAAATTGGTCCCTGAAAATATGCACATTACATTTATTTAACAAAGGACTTGTCCAGAATGTATAAAGAACTGGTAACTCAATAGTAAGAAGACAAGCACCCGATAAAAAACAGATGAGAGATTTCACAAAAGATGCGAATGGCCAATAGCACATGAGAAGAAGTTCAACATCCTTACTCACGAGGAAATACAAATTAAACAGTGAGATACCACTACAGGTCCACTAAAATGGCTAACAAAGGTTGACAATAGCAAATGTTGGCAACGATGTGGAGCAACTGGAACTCTTGTACATCGTTGGTGGGCATGTAAGCGGACACAGCCTTGTAAAAAGCAAGCACACTCGACAGTTTCTTATCAACGTAACCTACACTGCCTGTGTGACCCAGAAATCCCACTCCCAGGAATTTCCCCAGGATAAATAAACACATACGCCCATAAGAAAACCGTACATGAATATTTATAGTAGCTTTATTCATAATAGTCCCAAGCTGGAAACAACCTAAATGTCCTTCAACAGGCGAATAGACAAAGTGTGGATATGCATAAAAGAAAACACCACTCTGCAATAAAAAGGGCAATAACTAGCACATGCAGCAACATGAATGCTAAGTGAACACTCATATGAAATTCTAGAGTAAACAAAAGTAATCTACAGTGAAAGAAGGAGCATTGCGGCCTGGGCCTGGGGAGGAGGGCTGTTGGCTACAACGGGATGTGAGGGAAATTTTCTGGGTGTGATAAGAATGTTCTACATGTTGGTTGTGCTCATGGTTACACAGGTGACACATTTGTCAAAACTCATGTACACCAAAAAAGGGCCTTTTTGTATGTAAACTATATTTCAGTAGAAAGAGTGTGCAAAGCGAATGACACGTGTGAAAAGGAATCTCACAGAGATCTGAGCAGCTCCCTTCAGTGCGGCTGTGCTGTGTGCTTGTCTGGCTTTGTGCCTCAGCTCTGACCATCTCACAGGGACATTAGGTGCCCGCTCAGAAGTGGGAGAATGAACAGTCCTTCTCACACACGGTGAGATGACGGAGGGTGGATTCGTGAAACCATGGACAAGCCCTCCGCCTCTACTCTGCTGGTCAGGATGCTGCTCGGGCCAGTCATTCCTTCTCAGGCCGAGGGACTGAGGACAGGAGGCTCGGAGGAGTCGGTGGGCTTCGTTGTTCACCAGAAGCACACCCAGTCTGTAAAGGCACCCACACTGAGGCAATAATTTTCTTTTTCAAAATCTGGAAAAATCTATGATTTGGTTCAAAGAACAAACCAGGCCAATGGCACATTTAAAGTAGTAGTGCCATTTTTTTTTTTTTCTTTCACTAACTGTAATTTAAAAAAAAAAAAAAATATATATATATATATATATATTTATTGATTTGAGAGAGAGAGAGAGAGAAGAAGGGAGAGGGAGAGAGAGAAACATTGATGTCAGAGAGAAACATTGATCAGTTGCCTCCCACATACATGCCGACCGGGGGTGGGGGTCAAACCTGCAACCTGGGCATGTGCCCTGACTGGGAATCAAACTGGTGATCAAACATGGGATGACGCTCAACCAACTGAGCCACACTGACCAGGGCACTAACTGGATTTTTCAAAGCTCACATTTAAGACTCAAGTGGTCATGGCAAGTCTGTTCATTATAAGGCCCGTCTTCTTTTTCATGGTTTCTGAGAACTCCTTTGTTGGTTTTCAATCAGTGTGCATGTAGCAGGCAGGAAAAAAAATATTTCAAGTATTCGAGCAGTCCAGCATTTCTGGACAAGGTCATTCTCATCCCCTGCTTTCTCTGCGCTTTTCATTTAGTTCAATTGGCTTCAAAAACAGGCAAGCCATTAAGAGATTGTGGGGAGGGAGCTGGCATAAAGCATTTGAGATTCCTCTTTCCCCTTTCTGAGGAGTCAGGGGAGGGGATACACAGATGTGGCCATAAAGGGTTTTATAATAAGAGGAAAAGGAGGCTGGGATGATTGCATTTTGCCTTTTCCCATAAATGTGCAAGATTACATGACGGAATGAGCTGCACTGTACTAGGAAATTAATAATAGATCCTACGGCTCTCCTTGTACATGAGCAAAGATGCCACATGTACAAGGACATTCACTGCAGCACTACTTCCAATAGCAAAATATTGGTAATACTGTTCATCAGCGAGGGACTGGTTGAAATAAATCACGGTGTGCTGATACAATAGAATACTATGTCACAGACACTGATATGGAAAGGCATCTGGAATAGGTCATTAAGGGCAATGATCAAGGTTAAGAACAGAGAGCCTAACATGGTACAGGGAGAGGGGCTGGGGGCAGAGAAAGGTTGAGGATGACTTACTTTTCCCTCTACATCATTTTGTGCCTTTTGAATTCTGTGCCATGGTATGTATTACATGTAAACAAACATGCAAGGTATCATGGTTAAGGGACAGAACATGATGGAGCAATAAAGACCTCATTCTGCGTATGTGGGTGCTGCATACATGTTCTGACCTCTTAACTGGAGATCAGCAGTGGGCATAATTCAATGAATTACATTGGATTTCGCCTCATGCACCTGGATCTTACACTCCAGTTTCATGGTACCTTTCCTAGGAGACTGCTGGCACCCCCCCACTGCTTCTTGGTTGGGAAACAAGAAATTGCAGGGACTCATCCCCATTTTGTTCATTGGAAATAAGATCGGGAAAAGAAAAAATGCTCTTCCCCTCATGACAACACTAGTAGAAGACACTGAGCTCATATGTCCAAGTGCCTTTCATGCGCTTGCTTCTAGTGGAGCTCCTCCTCAACTGGATCAGCGCCCCTGTCCTTTTCTCTCTCCTCGTGTGAACCTGTTCACGCACCTGCTTGGCACTGCTGGGATGGCGAGCTTGCTCTGCTCAGGAGCAAAACCACTTTCTCTTGGCAGCTGGTAGGTGGGGATGGAAAAGGTTTCACATAATCTAGCCTATTGTTGGCTGGCAAGCTGGTTAGTGGTGGCATCTAAACAATGAGGACATTGGGCCCAGCTCCACTGTGCTGTCAGGTGAAGAATGAACACTTGAGAAACAGGAGACCCACAGAGCCACTGCTCATATCAGATGTGTGGGTCACAATGCCCCGACCATAAAGTAGGAATTAGTACTTTCCAGGAGTATGCTGTTACATGTGTGTACTATGTGGGAGTAAATTTGCATGTTCTCTGGGAGGCTGGGAGAGGTGGTGGTGGTGTTCACAGACGGACTGTCTGTTTCCATTGGAACCTTGGGCAGCATGCTTTCCCTCCCCGTTCCTTTTAAAGCCAAATATGTGCCTAGGACATTAACTCCAAAGGGATTGTTTCAATGAGCAATGGTCAGAAGCGTTCACTACTTCCCTAAGAGCTTCCCTGTGTGACAGTTCTGATCTTCAGGAAAGTAAAAGTTGGGGACTGAACTGCAAATATGGCCTGAATAATGACCTCACCTGAGTTCTCTTATCTCATCCAGGGCCAAGCAGACACGAGCATCTCCTTGCAGCCTATTGACCTGAAGTCCTGGCGTAGTTATGGGATGCTTATCCCAGAGGTTCAGACCCTTCTTGGGATTCACAGTGTTCAAAAGTAAATGATCACCCTCATGGAATGGACAACAGTGTGGTGATAGTGGGGCGCGGTGGGGGAGTGGAGGCGGAAGAAGGCATAGAGGAGATAAATGGTGTTGAAAAATTAAATTAAATCAAAAAAATAAAGTAAACGATCTCTGTGGTAAGGATTAGTTGTGTTCCTCTACACACACACACACACACACACCACACACACACACTGATTAATTAAACATAACTGAAAATTATGAGGTGCTAAGTACACGATGAGCTCCACGAGACCAGGGATTTTGTTCTGTTTGGTTCCCTGGTGTATCGCAAGTGTGCTGCTGACACTCAGAGGCACCAGTAACTATCTGATGAATGTACGTGTGATGAAAAAGTGTACTGAAAATCAAAATATTTACTCACCGACATATATTGCTGCACACCGTTCACAAATTTGGGCCCAGCCTCTTTCCTTAAATTGATCAATTTTGAGAGATGCTCATAAGCCACAAACTCATTGAAGAATGACTTGTAACCTAAGAGTTTGGCAACCATAAAGCTGTCCTGCCAGTCCACTCCCATCATGAAGGAGAGGGGCATGAAGATGTAGGAGCATATTAGCTACAAAAACCAAAAATAGATGCTTTGTTAGAGTAGTGATCAGCTTCTGCCTCACCCTTGTGACAAGACTGCTGCTACCCCGACTGTTTCCTTGCGGCATAGAAATCCCTCCACACTCTCACCCGTCTCTAGCCACTAGAAATCAGGGTTGGAACTGGTCGTTTGAAGTAACCTGGATTCTTGGGACAGGGTCAGGAGGGAATGACTGAATGTTGGGGAGAGGAGGGTGTTAAGAGACAGAGGAGGTGGGGAGATGGGGGCTACCTGGTAAGTGCATACATCGGGTAAGAGTGTGCTGTAAGTAGTTAGGGAAGGTTGTTCAGAAACCTATTTTATTTTTAAACAAAAATAGGCAGAAATAAGATGGAGGAGAAACATGGTAGAATTATACCTCGAAACTCAGCTGTGGGCAGTCGAGCATGTTTCCGAACCAGGACAGGGCAGAATTCACAAAAGACAACAGGGCTATGAAGGCAATCAGATTCACAGCGATGTTTGCCACCAGGGAGATGGACGAGGAGGCTCCCTGCGTTGCGGCTTCTAGGAGATTCCTCGAATCGCTGGATGGAAAGATAGCACCCCCAAAATTACCGAGGGGTTGTCTGTGGATGGATATACGTGTATGGGAATGGCCTAATCAGAGCTCATCTGGATGGAGAGGCCAAGTCTCAGGCCCACGTCTGAGTCAAAATACTCAGCTGAATTCTATGAAATCATGATGGCATTTGTAATTGTTGAGTCTAGGTGATGAGTGTTTAACTGTTATACTACTCTTTTAATATGGGGTCATTTATAATGAAAAAATTAGCAAAAGATAAACATTTAGGTTTTAAAAATTATATTTAATCGAAATAGCTATCAGAGAATGTTTATAAAATAAATATTCTTGGTATAAGAACAGTTCAAGGAAGGTCTGAATATCCATAACCTCATTTAAGAAATGGAATGTCATGCCCAGCTGGTGTGGCCCAGTGGTTGAGCGTCGACCCAGGCACCAAGAGGTCACTGGTTCAATTCCCAGTCAGGGCACACGCCCAGGTTGTGGGGGCATGCAGGAGGCGGCCAATCGATGTTCTCTCTCGTCAATGTTTCTATCTCTCTCTCCCTCTCCCTTCCTCTCTCTGTAAAACCAATAAAGAAAAAAGAAAGAAAGAAATGGAATGTTACCATCACCTTTGAGCCCCCAGTGCCGTTTCTTTTTCTTTTTTTTAAATCCTCACTGGAGGACATTTTTGCATTTATCTTCAGATAGAGCAGGAGGGAGAGAGGGTGGAGGAGAAACATCGATGTGAGACAGACACATTGAGTGGTCACCACCCACACGATCTCAACCAGGGCCAGGAACAAACTGCAGCCCTGGTACAACAGAGGTACGTGCCCTTAGCGGGAACCAAACCCGGGACTCTCCGGTCCGCAGGCCGACGCTCTAACCACTGAGCAAACTGGCCAGGGCCCAGTGCTGTTTCTTAATCTCATCCTCTTCTCTCTAACCTCAGAAATACCCGGCTCCCTTGAAATTTATTGATCACTCCCTTTCTTTTCAATGTCCCTACTTGTCCATATCCCCAAGTAACACATTGTAAAGGTTGACACATTTTTCTAACTTTATAAGTGGAATCACACATATTTCATATATACATTTGATAACCTGCTTTTCACTCGTGGTTAGCATGTTACCTATAAACAAACAAGGGACGGATCTCAAAAACATGTTGATTGATTAATTCTGTGATTGCATGAAACACTCTTAAACATCCTAAGTCCCTTAGTCTTTTCCACAGAGCCTAAGAAAATGAACCAACGAGGGGCTCAGGATACTGTATCACACTGCCTCTTCCCTATTATATAAGAAACTTCTAGAAATGGTTATCCTATGGCTTTCCAATGGTCTCCACCCAAAGCTCAGTGAACACTCTACTATATTTAATATTTGCATTGAACAGTCAAGTAAATGTATTTGCATTCAGGTCTTTAGAAAGGTTTTCTTCCAGTGCTGAAACAAGATTTTTTTGGGTGATGTCTAAATAGTCCCTGGGAAATTCAATTCATTTACTGCCATAATTCACTGTGCTCTCTGATGACCACATTTTTGCTGTACTTTGAATTTGGATCCTCCCTCCCCCTCTGGCTGGTGTAGTCATGAGCTGGGTGAATGTGTTCTCCTTACCCATTTTCCATTTTCATGGCATTCTTGAGAGTCACTTTAGGGGTTTCTGTCTCAGGCCAAAAGAGTTTAGCAACAGCCAGTGATGCAGGTGCTGACATAACCGAAGCCGTTAACAAGTGGGTGGATGAAACCTGCCAATTCAGGAGAAACAAGGCCAGCTTAGGTATAGCTTTTCTGTTGTGTTCAGAATGAAGGACCCAAAAGCCTTACAAGGGAGAATATGGACAGGAATTGATTCTATGACAGACAACAATGTTTCTTTGGAGGCTTGGAAGAGCTCACTTAGCCAAGTCAGCCTCACTTTGAGAGTCAGAGGGAGAAGGGAGGAATTTGTGTGAACTAATCACATTCTCGGGGAGAAGCACTGACTAGTCCGATCGTTTCAGAAGAGAATTAATCCTGTTCTGTAGGAACTTTCAAAGAAGCTCCTCCACCTCTCTGTTGTCCTTCTAAATGTTCAAATAGTCCCTAAAGCCCATATTTCATAATGTCATCAATTTAGATAGGAGCTATCTTGGGGTACAGGCATGGGCACACCTCCATTTTTCTTCTGCCCTCCTGAAATCCTTTGTGTCTTTACGTAATATCATTTATCCAGAGTCCCTTGAATCTGAAGCTATCTCTGCTCTCCTCACTGCCAGTCGACTTAAATTCTTTCCCCTTTCTTCCTCACACCCCTGTTGTTTCTGGATTCTCGTCTCTTGTAGTTTGAGAATTCTAGAATCCACACCTCTCTTTCCACTCCCATCTGGGGTACTGGTCCAGCTGCTGTTCCTGAGGTCTCCTAGCCCCTTTTCTTCTTCCCTATTTTTACTGATTGGTTTTCCGGGGCCCAGAGGAAGTCCTGGACTGAAACACGGCCACCTTGTAAGAATTCCTAATCACTGGGTCACACAGCTGCTGTGTATTCTGTTTCCCCACTGGGGGCTGCATCTCTGTGCGGCTTGGAAGCTCTGTGCTTGGGGCACATGCACCAGTTATCATCACAGTCTCTGGCCTCATACCAAAGGCCCCAGCTCTCATACTGGGCTGTACATTGAAATCTGGAGAGTTAAAAAAATAGATGCCTGGAGTCTCATCCCATGAGATTCTGGTATAATTACTCTGGGTTATGGGCTTGGGCGTGAGGGCTTCTAAAAGCTCCTGGGTGTTCTAATGTGCAGTAAGGTTTGAGAACCACTGCTCCAGGCCAGGAGTCAAGACAGCATTTTCTGTAAAGGGTGAGGGAGTAAATCTTTTTGGCTTTGGGGGCCACAAGAATTCAACTCTGTAGTGTGCAAGCTGCCATACAGAAATGAATGGGAGTAGTTGGTGTCCAATAAAACTTCAATTCCAAAAAAAAGAGAGATCTAGATTTGGCCTATGGGCCCTAGTTTTCTGACCCCTGGTCTAGATCGCCTTTGCTAATGTCAGTAATAGTTTTCTTTATTTATTTTTATCAAATTTAAATTCTCAACCAAAGTAACCGCATAATACAATTTCATTTTGTTATGATTGGGTATAATTCACATTTAGGTGGCAGGGATATCAGAATGAAGCCTGAAAAAGGTCACTCCATTCAAATCGGCCAAAGGAACTGTGACAGATACAGCAAAAAGGACACTCTTTTGGCCTCTTTATCCAGCTGCAATGGGAGAGAAAAAACAAAAAAGAAATAATAGTAGCAAAGAAAGAAGAGGTTGCACTTCCATAAATTAATCCCCAAACATTCTTACCCCAAAAGAAATGTATGCACCTAACACGCTTCCGGCAATGGTAGCAAACCCAGCGGTCATAACTGCATGGAGTTCAGACTTGGTGATGTATGGTAAGTATGGTCGGACCAGCAGTGGGGACTCCGACTGGAAACAGAGTGATCAGATTAAACATTCCATTATACATTTTGGGGGTCTATAACAATCTACTGAAACTTCCATTCTCTAAATGCAATATTTCTTTCTTTCTTTTCTTTTTTTATCCTCACCCGAGGACATTTTTCCATTTTTGTTCAGATAGAGAAGGAGTGAGAGAGGGGGAGAGAAAGAGAGAAACATCGATGCAAAAGGGACACATCGAGTGGCTGCCACCTGCATGACCAACAAAGGCCAGGGACAAACTGCAACCGAGGTACGTGCGGGAACAGAACCTGGGTCTCCCTGGACTGCAGGCCAACGCTCTAACCACTGAGAAAACCAGCCAGGGCTCTAAACACAGTGTGTTAAGTTTGCAAAGTCTGCAAGGCCCATTCATGTAAGGCCCCCACCTAGCCTAGGGTTGGCTTCTGACGGCTGTGTACACTTTTCTAAGGTGGGAACATTATTGGCCAGTAACTCCACCCAGGGCCCTGGCCTTGTGAATTGTGATTACCAAGCCTCTGTGACTTCCCACCTTCCAGCTTCATTTGACAGACCCTAAGTCACTTTGCTGACACCACAGGGAAATAGAGACACAGTATAAAAAAATACCAGCAATAACAAGGACAGGGGCCACAGGCCCTTTTCTCATTGAGAATCAGAGCCCTCTCTTCCCCTGGGGTGGAAAGGAATTGGAGAGGGTGTAGTTGTAAAGGCTCGAGTTCCATTAAGGAGTGCTGGCCGCCTGCAGCGTGCGCCTCTCCATAAATAATAGCTGTACTTTTAGCATATTAAGTACCAAATTGAACACCACAGAAGCATGTGTGCAATTTTGCAATTTTGCCCTCATTATTTCTAGTTGTTCTATAAGATTGAATGTGTTGAGTTTCAATTTATGGACTAAATTGAAACTCAGTACATGAGCCCTCTTACCCCACAGGTAGAGTAATCAACTCAAGATGGTGCCCTAATTAGTCCTGGGAGATTTTATGACTATAATTATAATAATTTCAATTCTTAGGGAAGGAATATGGGCCCCGCTCTAAAGACTGTGCTGCAGGCTACAAGCTGGGCTGACCAACAAGAAGGCTCAGCCTGCCTGAGGCAGTGGTAAGCCTAGGATTTGGGGCCATATGTTTTTCTGGCTGATTTGCTTTTTGCTTCAAATCCAGTTTCCTTGGGCAGCCATGATGGCAAGCATTCATACTTGGTTTCTGTGGTGTGTGAACCATTCTATCCTGAATGATGAGGATGATCATTACCATTTTTTAGTTATCCACCCCCCAGGCATGCTGCTGTTTTGGCTTTTTTTTTTCCTTAAATGGACTTCAGGCAAAAGAACACTTATCGATGTGACGGGTCAAGGAGATAAACATGTTTTTGTTCATCAGCATTTTTCTCCAGGCTCAGCAAAGATAGATTGTTGGCCAGTTCAGAAAAGTGAGAAAGAGCTCGGGTATGCACGCAGCTGCTTGGCTCTTGGTGAAAAGTCTTTTTTGGTCTCTTCCATTACCATGAGCGTCATCCTACGGAATGGGCGGCTGCCTTAGGATATGAGTTAGAATGAGCTTTAGGATAAACGGTGAGCTCCCTTTGAGTGGGCGAGCTGCTAGCCTCTGAAGGGTGAGCCAGGGACTGCAACAGTTCAGTAAGTTCAGAAAAGAGTTACTGAGACTCTATACACGAGAAACCTAATGCTTTGATAAAATGATTCAGTCTTTCTTCCTGTCCATAAACTTCTAAAAACTGAAATTCCACAGTAGTGCTCCGAGACTCTTAGAAGGGATCTCAATCTCTGTCGTTCTCACTTTTTTTCCCTCTTTCTCTGGAATCCTGGACATTGTCAATACTGAATGTTTCTTATTTTGACACCCTTCTCCTTACACTGAAAGAAATAACACAGTCATTTTTAAGTTTCACTTTCTGAAAAGAGCATCCATTTGAGCAGGTGTTTTATTTTATTTTATTTATTTATTTTTATCCTCACCCGAGGACATTTTTGCATTCATCTTCAGAAAGAGCGAGAGGGGAAGAGAGAGAGAGAGAGAAACATCGATGTGAGAGAGACACATTGACTGGCTGCCATCCACATGACCCCAACTGGGGCCAGGAACAAACTGCAACCGAGGTACACGCCCTTAGCGGGAACTGAACCCGGGTCTCTCTGGATAGCAGGCCGATGTTCGAACTGCTGAGTTGAACCAGCCAGGGCTTGTTTTATTTTTTAATATTAGAACTTACCTGTCCTACGAATATATTGCCAGCAGCAACTACAGATTCAATAGGAGATGATCCCATAGTGACCAGCATTATCCATCCAATCTAAACAGGAAAAATCAATGAAGAACTATTTTTATATACACAAAACTTCAAAGTAGGAATAAAAATCTTTAAACTGGAGGAAAATGCTGTGACCTTAACGATTGTTGGCAGGCAGTGATGGTGCCACACGTGAGCATATCATACCTAGTCCATAGAGCAGGTGGATCAAATCCTCCTGTTTGAGTCATAAGTCTGAGTCATTGTTTATAGTTTGAACATTCTATAAATGAATTTCTGTTGAAATATTATAAACAGTCATGCAGGTTTTACTGCATTCCAAACACTGTTAAACCCTATATCCGAGTAATGCATTTAAATCCTCATAATAACCTTTTGAGGGAGGTCCTATAATCATGACCATTTTATAGAAGAGCAAACCAAAGCACAGAACAGTTTAATTGTTTTGTAAAGATCACTCAACTACTAAGTAGTGGCATGTAGTTGAGGTTTGGCCTTTCCTACTTAACTCAAATGAACATAGTTTACAGTTTCACTTTCCCATGGGTCCTCCAAACCAGAGCCGGTGGGGCGCACCTCAGGATGAGAACTTTCAACTGCATTTTCTTTCCTTTCTGCTTAGTTGTGAGCACAGTAGTTCTGAATGTTTAAATTGACACTCAGATCATTATGGGCCTTGGCACTCTTGTTGAAATTCTGAGTTCTGGGGGTAGTCTGGTTCCTTCTCTCCCTCTCTCCATGTTATTCGTTTACGGGGATCAAGGCTGTGACTGTGCCAAGGTCCTGTATGTCCTGCCTCGATCTGGTGGGCATTCAAGCTATGCTACACATTTCCTATTTTTTTTTTATCAAACATATGAATGTAGGACTGAGATTTGCTGGGGCAGCAGGAATGAGATTAACTTTTCAGACGTAAAAAAAGAAAACTGTGAGCTTATAAAACTCTCCCAGGAGCGAAAAGATTTCCCTTTCCCCTTTCTTGCTTGGATTCTCTAGCAACTCAGACCAGGAGCACCCGCTTCTGTGATCTCCTTACACAGTGACTCCTTGTAAGGCTCGGGGAAGGGGGGTGGGCAGCCAGGATGAAGAAGGAACAATGCCGCTCCCCCCGCAGGTGTCTGACCTGTTGGAGTCAAGCCTTTGGCCTAAAGAAATCACTGCTAACAGAAGCCCCTGAGATAAAATTCCCTCTGCAGGAACATGTGGGATTTTGGGTGTTTCAATTTCGTAAGTTGGGTGGTGGTGGTAGATCTTGGTACAAAGAGAAAAGTACTTGAAAATACCTGGATAAAAGGCATGGAAGACTCTGTCTCTGAAATATTTCAGCTCTACACTTGTCACCCAACCCCTGCCAGTCCCGGTACCTTTCTAATGATCCACTGCATCAGTCCGAGGTAGTAGAGCATGGACATCACGGTGCTGAAGAAAACCACAATGGGCAGCACCTGGGTGGTTGGGGAGGAAAGTGATCACTGGTTAATGTGGTCCCAGCAGTGTTCGTAGGTTTCAGATCAATCTCTTTTCTGCCTCCCTCTGCCCCTCTGAGACATCACAACAATACTAGAAACTCCTCTGAACTGAACAATGCTTTTACTGGGCTGTCCCCACTGACCGTCTCTTATACTAATTTGTTCTGGGTAAGCTTGAGTATATTTCATTGGAAACTTGACATTTTTTTCTCTGCTATGATGAGCTCTTCCTATTTGTTTCTCAGAGAAGGAATGAAGTTTGAAGGGAATTTGTAATAATTAGACCAACCAACTGAAGGTGCTACCAGCAGATATTCTTGTTCTGATATGAAACAGACATGGGTGCCACCACTCATTAGCAGAGTAACCGGGGTGCAGATGAAGTGTGAGCAACCTTAGATCCTCATTCCTAGTGGCCACTCAAATCAGACACAGCGTGGTAAGTACTTACACACTGTGCCTCCTACAGAGTAAGCTCATTCATTTAGTTTTTAAAACAGTAATTGTTTTACTTATAGATTTTTGAATCACTAAAATGATTAAACTTTGGAAACTAGTTAACTTCTGTGCTGACAAAATGTTGTCTTTTCCTAGATCCTATTTTCCTGATGCTCTTTGGGTGCCTTCCATGCAGCCTGTGTGTCTACAGGGAACAGCTTCTACCCCTCAGAGATCACACACAGCTGTGGTCTGCCTCCCTCCACCCTGCTACCCCACCTCACCCCTTCCAGCCCTCTGCCCCCCAGCTAAGTGGCCAGGGATAAGCTGCCACCGGAGGCACAGAATGATGGAAGACAATGTGCACAAGACCTAATTTAGAAAAATCTATTAATAATATATATTAAAAGACATTCTGTGCCGTTATTGAGAGCTCACTCATGTGCTTTTATTGGTCTTAATGGGCAGGCAGAGCCTTCCTGAAAGCTTCAGGGAGCTGGGGGGGTTCATCTCTCAAATGTCCCAACAGGGATTCTGCTCTGGCTGTAGGGGCAGAAGTTGCTGCTCCCCGGGAGACAAGATCTGAAGACATCAGACAGTCTGGGCAGCAAGTCACTTCTTCCTTGTGACTTTATTTTTCCAGTTCTGAATTAGATTCACAATATGAGCACATTTCAGTCACAATTTATAAGCACCTGACCTTTCAGGGGTGGCTTAGTTATCTCAGCACCGAAGCATCAAATCAACAGTTTTATTTTTATTTTTTTATTTTTTATTTTTTTATCCTCACCCGAGGACATTTTTTCATTTTTTGTTCAGGTAGAGCGGGAGGGAGAGAGAGGAAGAGAGAGAGAGAGAAATATCGATGTGAAAGGGACACGTCGAGTGGCTGCCACCCGCACGACCAACCAGGGCCAGGGACAAACTGCAACGGAGGTACGTGCCCTTAGCGGGAACCGAACCCGGGTCTCTCAGGACCGCAGGCCAACGCTCTAAGCGTTGAGCCAAACCGGCCAGGGCTCAAATCAACAGTTTTAAAAACCTGCAGTTTAAAAAGGATTCACCATTAATAGCTGGCCTAACTGGCAGAGTACACTGGAGGTAAATCGGGAGGCCCTAAGTGAGCAAACTATTTAGAAATGTAGGAACAATAACACACCACAAAAAATAAAACCGAAGAAAAAGACACATGCATCTTTCTGACTACTCAGCAAGTATTTATAGGGATTTCCCTGAGGAAGTGAGCTGCCTGGGGCCTGTGGGAGCCTTGGGAGGGAACCAGTAGGCCTGGCCATGGAGCCGGATGTAGAATAATGTCCTTTTTTTGGTTGGGAGAAGGCCCAGCCTCCAGGCCTGAGTAGGCAAAGGCTATGCTTAGGGAAATGTGGGAAAGAGTTAGTATGGGGATGCTTCCAGAAGAACAGAAGTTGATGTGGGTGACCAGCTGTCCTGGTTTGCTTGGGACTGAGGGGTTGGTTTCTCAAGCACAGAGCAGTCAACAACCCTGGATGCAGAAGCCATTAGTGGCCTATTGACTGCCAGGTACCTGATGTTCTTTTCACTGAAATCTCAGATCCTGTTCCCTCACATGATTGTTGTAGTATCTCAGACCATGCTACACGACCCCCCCCCCCCCACGATTGCTTTAATATTTCTGACTTTCTCTAGATGTTTTCCTTAATGCTATAGCAACAAAGTAAAATGTTTGCAGTCCACTGATTTCAGATATAACTGTAAATGAAAAGGGCAGTAATATGCTAAGCACCTACAACATATTCCTGGTTTCTGGTCGGTTAGATTCTATCTGAACAGCTACAAACACTGAGAAGTTACCAGAAAGAACATGACTACATAGAAAAGGAGTTTGGCTTTACCTTAAATGCAAAGAAGTGGTCTGTGTATTTCTCACCAAAGACAAACGAAGCACCAGCATTTGTGTACTCCAAGAACGTCTGCGTGGAGGGAAGGAAAAAGAAGGTCATTACAACCACTGAAGCGGTGGTTACAATTCACAGGACCGACCAGGCTCAGCAGAAGGTGGGGACCCAGAAAACTTGGATAGATTTAGAAAGTTAATTTCTCAGCTTTCCCCCCTTCATTAGATGACATGGAAGGGCATTTTTGAACTCTACCTGCATACATATTTCCTGTCATTTCTGACATTCAATCTGACTCCAGAATGCTCAAGAATGAGCCAGGTGTGGTAAATTATTCCAGCAAGTCACAGTTGACACATAGGTGGCGCTAGTCACCACTAGATGCAAAGAAAGCCTGTTTCTTCTCTATCTGTGGAACCATTTAAAAAGTGTGACAACCTTTGGACAGAATGAAGGGGGCAATCGGGGTAGGATGTAATGTAGTGGATAATATGGGTAAGGGACAATGATAGTATTAATAAAATAGACAGATGAACATACTCTACACAAACAAAATTATTTGTCTCACTCATTCTACAGAATTAAAATGTGGGTCAACTAATGCAGACAAATAAACCTATTTCTGACATGTCTTGAGAATTATACCCAAATGTTAAAAGCATTATAAAAGCAAGGTGTTCACTCGAACCCCACTTACCTGAACTTGTTTGCCCAGCCAATCAAAGGCGGTAAAGCCAGGCTTAGTCCTCAGTATTAAGAGCCCAAGAAGAAACTGTAACCCAATTCCCCAAAAGACAGGCCTCCAGTAAACCTATACAAAGAGATGAAGAGATATATCTTATTAGAAAGTGAACGCTGAACTCAGCACCAATGCCCAAAGGATCACTATTTCCTTGGAAGCCTGTCACGCGGCCTGTGACCCGCCTTCTGGAGGAGGCCAAAGCAGCGAATCCCTTGATGAAATCTGACCCAAACATCTCAGGGTTGCATTCTCTCTTCCTAATCCCGAGTGTGAAGCCTTCAGTCCCGGGAGGGTATGTACCGTTATGTTGTGATAAAATAACTTAGACACAAGAGTAGTCTTAGAGGGCCATTAAAGGAGGAAGGACCTGGCCCTCCTCGCTGTGCTGTTCATATTAGATACGTGCCATTCTTTCCCCTGCCTGGAAAATGAAAAGACAGAACATGACTTCTCTGTGTGCCCAAGGTTTGTTGATCTGACAATTTGTAAGTGAATTAAGTGAAATTCCACCCTGTTGAGGGGCTCTCATTTCACTGTAAAAGGCACCAATTAACTGGAATGCAGAGCCAGAGAGTGCAGCGGTAATGGGCCATCATCTGCTTTCCTTCTGGGCGCAGAGATGAGTGGCCTGCAAAGAACTATGGGATTGAAGGCATAGAATACAGTGGAGACATTCTCCAGGACAGGGCAAAAAACTGGGATCATATTAGGTGATTTTTTATTCTTTGGCTCAGCCTTTTAGCCAGTGACGTCTTCCAGAGTTTGCCTACAGGAGTCATACATGAAAGCTTCGGCGTCTCAGATTCTTGCCCACTTAATGGGCTGCAGGCTGACAGAACAAGGATGAAAATTGAATTCCATGTGAACAAAATTGTTTAAGGATGAAGTTTTGGAGTAAAACAGCCCAAATTGCAAATGGAAATTTGATAAACTGCAGAATTCAATGGAGGAATATTAGATTATTTGCTGGTCTGGGAAATCTGGATCAAAATGGATGAGTTTTCTTTGTATGTGTGTTTCACGGGGGGAGGTGGGGTATGTGAGTAGCAATTGGACTTGACAGGAGAGAACATCCCACTGGCTGTGTAGCTGAAAAATCACTGAGAGTGAAAAATGAGAGAGTAACCGTACAATGAAAGTTCTGGGAGAAGGGCACACTAGCCACCTAAAATATCATAGCAAGGTGAGACAAATATTGAATAACAGTTAAATTCTCCCACACTCATTAATTTGAGCAATTTACACATGAGGGAAAAAAGGGGGACCCCAAAAAGATCGATTTCATACTTACTTTGGTTGGGTATTTGGAAAATAGAAACAGCAAGATAATGTACATGATGAGCCCACCAAAGGACACCAGCTGCTGCTGGCCCAGTTTGGCGGTGTCAAAGATCAGCCAGAAAATAATCCCCAGGACCAGTGAGCTCCAAATCACCCTAAGACAACCGAGAAAGAGGCATTGGCATCATTTACTGCGTTAAGTTGATAATCTCAATCAGGCTTAAACTACCAAACAAAAAAATATTAGCAAGAGTAATACACCCTGGCACCAGGAAGTTGTGCTTCTAGAAATTGCAACAGATCTTCTTTGGTTGTGGCTATAAAGGCAAATAGCAAAAAAAATAAGCACTGCGTCTCCCTCACTCCACAACCCTTGGGCTCTTCGCTGGTTCAGGATGCATAATGTGGTCAGAGAGGAGAAAGGATGTTTGGAGAGGGAAGTCTGGTGATTTCTTTGAGAGATCGACTGGGAAACCTCACCTCTGATTTGGGAGATGGGTCAGGTGTTACCTTTTAAGGGAGAACTTGAAATGTGTTCTTTGAGGGATCTTACTGAGCCTCAGAGAGCTAAGTTGGACTTTAGACTGGGTTCTGACTCCCTGGGACATCTGGCAGGTTGGCAAGTCTGATTCATAGCTGGGTTGGCAGAGCCAGAAAGGGCTCTGTGTTGCTATTGCACAGTCCTAGTTTATTTGGCCCAGGGTGTGTGACGTTTCCTAGTAGATCCCATGTCGGCCATGCTGGGTAAATCCAGTCCTGGATCCCATCCAGTAGGGCGACCTGGAGGGGAGGCAGTCCCACAGACAGAGACTGAGGGAAAAGCCCGGAGTGGTCACCTGCAGGACACAGGGCCCTATGGGAAAAAATTGGCTTTAATAATTCACAGTCTCTTCTTCCTGAGGAGGCCTGAGCAGGAAGCTACCTCCCCAAGTAGAATCATCTCATGTTTTGGACATGTTTTCATTTAGGTAGCACTTGAAATTAAGGTAGTTTATAGGGACATTTGAACACATCTCAAATGAGTCATTGCCTTATCTAAGACGTGATTTCCTGTTTGTAAAACGAAGGCATTTTAACAGATTATCCCCTAGGTTTTTTCTAGCTGCAAGAGTCCTTAAATGAGAAAGCAATTTCAGAACAAAATTTTGAAATAGTGTTGGTAAAAACGAACACTCCTGTCAACTGTGATAAGAGAACCAACTGCATTTACCACTTCAGCCAGAACCAATGACTGTCCAGAAGTTTTCTGCCAGGAGAAAGGAACTCATCAATTCGATGTTCATATTTGGCCATAAAGTGGTCCCAGATCACAAAGAAGAGGGCAGCCACAGTGATCACGAAAAGGGGAAGGGCTCTGCGAAAATCCAGCACACAGGCTGCAATCACCATAGCCAGGTAACCTGTCCAGGAACAAAGGCAGACAGTGAACAGCACCAACAGCCCCGGAGTCCAGCCTCCAGCACTGATCTGGCTCAGTCAAGAGCAGGTTCAATGAACAAACCACTGAATACAAGAGTGTGCTCATATTCTTGATATGACTATGGCTCCTCTGATTATAAGTCCCTAACAGTCTCACCATAAAAGCTAGGAGGACAGGGTGCTAGGTCCTTTTACTTATTGGTAAGGCCTTGGGTCAACAGTAGGCTATTAGTAGTTTTTGGGAGTCCAAAGTTAGATGTGGATTTTTGACTGTGTGGTGGGGGTGGGGAGTGTTGGTGCCCTTAACCCCTTTGTTGTTCAAGGGTCAACTGTAAAAAGTAGAATCCCCACCCCCCACCCCCCCGCCCACACACACACAAAGAAAAGAAAAAGAAAAACAAAACAAACAAAAAATTTTAAAAAGAGAAAAATGTCAGTGTCAACTGTAGACAATTATAGTTCTGCCTTCAGGCAAGAGGAGTGGGGTACATGACCCCAGGAGACTCCTGGCATTGTACCCATTTAAATATCAACTGCTTATATCTCCTCTGCAATTAGATTCTAGCTGTGATAACCACTCTGTTTTCCAGTTACCTGGGTTTGCATTAACCAGCTTTCAAATCCACATCATAACAAAGGCCACAGAGTGGGTTACCTAAATTAACTAAATTAACGGACAGGGAGACAATCTGGGAAGTACCCCAAACTGAGACTACAGTTCAGGGCCTTCTTGATTTGCTTCTCTGTCTCTCTGGATGATTCATGAAGTCCCGGGAAAAGGAAGGATTTACTTTCTGTCCACAGAAAAGCTCAGTATAGTATTTGGGGACCCTCAAAGAGACACACTGGTATCCCAGCCCCTTTTGTTATTTACCTGCTAATAAGATGCCCCAGGTGACATACCGAATGGTGGTTTTGTGTTTTCTACGAAAATCACAAACTACGCCATAATTCCTGGCCAGATACCTATAACAACACAAACGCAAAATGACAGGCAGAAGTCAATGCAAAAAAACATGATACAACTAGAGGAGTCTTTGTAAATAAAGCAGGCAAACACACAAATTCACGAAGCTCATGTCCTACCAAATGGAAATGGGAAACTCATTACTGTAGACTAAACCCAGCCCTGGCTTGGACCCACCTTTGCTGAATGAGCATGTCAAGTGCTGAGAGATTACAGAGACACAGAAAACAAGTTCCTGGAAATAAATTGGGGGAGATTGATACTTAAGCAAAAGCTGAAAATAATACGTAGGATGAGAATGCTTCTCACTGGACTCTGAGGGCCTCCATTAGCCTTTATTAACTGTTACTAAATGTTGATTTAAAAAAAATCCTGCCAGCCTGGTGTGGCTCCGTGGTTGGGTGTCCACCCATGTACTGTGTTGACCCATGTACCAAGAGGTTGCCAGTTCGATTCCAGGTCAGGGCACACACCCATGTTGTGGGCCAAATCCCCAGTGGGGGGCATGCAGGAGGTGGCCATTTGATATTCTCTCTCATCTATGTTTCTATCTCTCTCTCCCTCTGAAAATCAATAATCAATAAAGGAAAAAAAAAGTAGCAGTGGTGGAGAGCAACATTTACTAGGGAACATCCATCCACTTTAGGTTGGATTTATCAGATTTTTTTTATTGCAGGGAATGTGTATAGTCCATTAAAGCAAACTGACACTGTATGGAGTAAAGTAGCTAGAAATAGATGCTTCTGCCATTTGGTTATCTAGGCTGAGCCACTTCCAACCTCCCATGGCTGTTTCCGACCCATTAACATTAGTGAAACCTGAGTACTTCTGACCACCCAGGAGGCTCTCTCAGCCCCCAGGGTCAGAGATTCATGAAGTGCAATGAAGGATGGAACTGGGCTCAGGTTTCTGAGGTGGTAAATATTTCTTGATGGTTTACATGTGACAAAATCTTTCCGTCTTAATTCTGACCAATTCCAAAGACATCCTCTGATACATAAAAGCAAAGTTCCTCAGAGACTTAGGAATTTAAATTAAATTTAAATAGGAATTTAGAAAATTGACAGATATTTCAGTGTTCTGATAGGGTACCAGACAATCTTGGACTAGGAATAAGAGGCTGTAATTGTAAGTTAGCTTTGTTCCTCTCTAGTTGACTAACCTTGAGTGTCACTTCTCTGAGCTTCATTTTCCTGGTCCAGAAAAAGGTAATACAATTTGCCTCTTCAACCTCGAGGGGTGATAAAGACTTGGAATACCTTCAGGACACCTCAAGGTAATAGCAAGTAGGTTGGGTTTTGAGAAACCAATTGCTTATTGATTGACATTGAGAAGGCGAATTAAGTACTTTTGTGTGGACTGGAGCAATTAGTTGGTAATTTACACCTGTAATGAAAAGACTGCCACGGATATTGGGTTCCCAGAACATCAGCAGTTTGAATTTACCATGTTGACTATCATAGGGCTCCACTGTTTTTCTGAAAATGGTTAAAGGATTGGTGATGGCGACCATATCTAATAAATAATAATAAATATTTAGCAATTAGGTGAGGATAAACAAAGGAGCAAAACCATTTGTTTAGGAGGAAGGTGTAGTTATTTCTCTGGTTTAAGTCTCTACCCTTTATGATGAATTTCTCGATCCTCCTCCTCATCTTCATTTCTTAGAGAATCCTGCTCAATGGTGACCGGCTCTTCACCCTGGAAATCAGACATTGGAGCAGAGATGCAATGATGAGAATCTTGGGCATAATGGACCCTGATCTCCTTTGCTCAGTAAACAACTTTCAAAATGTCCTTTCAAATTATTATTAAAGAAGTTAGCTCCTACTAAACATTTTCTTCTTCTCTCTCTCTCTCTCTCTCTCTCTCTCACTCACACACACACACACACACACACAGAGGTGTGTTCCAAGATCACACTTCTCCCTTTTCTTCCAAAGGAGCTGTTGAAATTTTCTCCTTTTCTTTAGGGAACAGACTCATATCTCTGCCTTTTGCTCCTATGTCTACTGTAATCATTCATCCCCAGCTCTGTTTTTAGGAAAGTGCTAAATGAAGTTAATACTATAGGATGCATAAATCTCCCTTTGCACTCAGCCAGCCCTAGTTTCCAAAGGACCGAGACCAAGGCCGGTTTTATGTCCCTGGCAGCCCAAGGCTTGGTCTGCAGATGCAAACACTAGCTCAGTATCTTCAAGAGCTGACAAACCTCCCCCAGGGATCTAGGCTTCTTCTATCAGTTGGGCTAAGGGAAATATTTTTCTCCCTCAGCTAGTCCTTGCTCTAATTAATGAGTGAAGTACAGGGTGGGGCAAAGTAGGTTTACAGTTGTTTGTATGGAAAAAGAATACAATAATTAATAAATAATAATGCAAGAATAAACTATTTCACATCCTCACAATGTAAACCTACTTCTGCCCCACCTGTATATACCTGGGCCAGCTTTCATGGACAATCTTTCTAGGTACCATATGAGCTCTTTAATATCCATAAAACCTGTCCTGTTCTCAGGATGGTGTAGAGGATTTCCCGTCTCTCTCCATTCTGCAGTAATGTCTAAAATAGGTCCAGCTATTGTAAGCAATGGCCAGGGAAGGCGAGGAGAAAGTATGCAGGTGTGGAGTGGTTTTGAACATGCTCTAAGAGGTAAAAGGTCAAATCTCAGCTTTTGTTTTCCATCATATCCTATGCAGACACTGGTCCTCTTTAACAGAACTCACAGACGTAAGTCAACAGCATGTCTGTGAGCTGAAAGGATTCACGAAGATCATGTAGTCCTTTGATGCCAAACTACGCTGTACTTCTGACTCAGACTGCCTTCCTTCCCGGGCAGGACCCCAGGAACCGGGAAGGTGAAAGGATCATTGTATGAAAGACCAGCTGAGTCCAAGCTGCAGGTGCCGAGGGCAGGGGCAGAGATGACCCTTATTCATTTTTGTTCCATCTAACACCAAGTCTGGCCAATATTAAAGTCTGGTAAATGTTTGATTTAAATTATTATAATTATTTTTTGTAGTGAAATTGCCCCAACTTACCTACTATCTATAGAATGTCAAGCATCACTTATTGTTTTCTTTTTCCCAATCTTTTTGTCTTTAAAACAAAATAAAACAGCAACACCAAAATCTTCTTGACCCCACAGTCACGGGACATCTACCCCGCTTCCTTCCCTTCACAGCCAAACTTGAAAGGGCTGCCTTTATTTTTAGGGCTCCCTCCTTCACATCCTGCTCAGTCAGCCCACTGTGAGCAGGCTTTTACTGAGGTGGCTTCTGGACCTTGGACCACTGTTACCAAATCCAATAGCTACTCCTCAGTCTTCACATTCCTGTTTACAACAGTGGAGCATCTAATTTCTGTTTTTGATGGTTTTGTGTGTGAAACAATTTTTGAAAAGACCTTTTAGGCAGTTTTAGGTTCACAGCAAAAGAGAGGGAAGGTACAGAGATTTCCCATCTACTCCCTGCCCCTCTCCTCCACGGCCTCCCTCATTAACGACTTCTCTCACCAGAGTGGTGCAGTTGTTAAAATCAATGAACCTACAAAGTCCATAGTTTACTTTAGGGTTCACTCTTGGTGTTTGTTGACAAGAGAAAATTTCTGAGATGTCCTACATTAAATTACAGCAGGCTGGACAGGTAGGAAGAAGAGATAAGAAGTTAATCAGTTATAGAAATCAACAAAAGATAGTTCACATTTGGAAAGTGTGTTGAAAGTTTGAATCAATTCCCGGGCAGCTAATTCAGCTCTTATCTAGAGAGACCAGCTGAGCACCAGAGCCACTGGCACCATCACATCTTCCTTACTCACAATCAACCCAAAAGCAGCAAACACTTCTTACTTATGGACTATGCACCTGTCCCAGAACTGTCTTTGCTTCACCTCCTGCCCCCTCCTTGTCTATAGCCAATGTAAATTCTTTTAAAACAACTTACATCTTTCTTCCTCAAACTCATTGTATAAAAGAGCCCCTCCGTCTCAGGGTGGTGCTCATGTTGATTTGTCCATCTAGCTCCACCGGTGTGGGTTTGGTCTGCACGACCTAGGACCAGGTCCTTTCTTGGGCTAGCACATGGCTCAATAAACCCTTGATTTAAGAAAATCTTTCAGCAGTGAAGGTTTTTGTTTAACAGTGTTTTACATTCTATGGGTTTGGACAAGTGTTGACTAACATGTATCAACCGTTGTATATCATACAGAATAGTTACACTGCCTTAAAACTCCTCTGTGCCTATTTATCCTCCTCCCTTCTTGGCAACCACTGATCTTTTTTACTGTTTCCACAGGTTCTCTTTTCCAGAATGTCAAAGTTGAATCATACACTATGTAGCCATTTTAGATTGACCTCTTTCACTTTGTAATATGCATTTGATGCCCCCCCCCCATGTCTTTTCATTGCTTGACAATTCATTTATTTTTAGTCTGGATGGACCACAGTTCATTGAACCATTCACCTTCTGAAGGGCATATTGGTTGCTTCCTTGGTGACCATGAATAAAACTACTATAAACATCCATGTGCAGGTTTTATGTGGATAGAAGTCTTGTTTTCTCTCTTTTTTAAAAAATAATATTTAGTGAAATGGACACTTTTTACAATATAGTAAATGAAATAGACAGTAATAATATTTATAGCACAATCCCAATTAGGGAACACGCGCATGTGGATGTATATGGTCTTAAAAGGCTTTATTACAAGATGTTAGGCAATGATTTTTTTTCTGAAATTCCAGGTCTTTTTATTGTGTTTCAAATTTTGCTGCACTAATTTTCCAAATTTTTTTCTACTTCAAACAAGTTATTCTTTTTATCATGAGAATAACTCTCCCCTAATAAATGGCTCTATAGTAGGCAACCCAGAAAAAAATAAGGATGACTGACAGGGAGAATTTGCTCACTTTTTAATAGCAGAAGACTTTCTTCAAATGAGATCCTACCCAGAGTTCAATATACAAGAGAAATAACAGTGGCATTGTGATGGAGGGCTTCAGCCTGCTATGTAACTTACGTGTCATAAGGAACTCTAGGGCACGAGGGGCACAATTTTAGAACCATGCCTTAAACCTTTTCTTGTCTGCCTTATTTACCTTAAAATTGAAATGCTCTTGTTTAAACCAGTGATTTCTGCACAGGGTGGAGCTTGAAATCTGTAGTAGAGATGTGTCAGAGAAAGCCTGGGTACTCTCCCCGTCAGAGACCACTGAGAACAGGTGTATAAACAAAACCTTTGTTTGGGCATGTATGTTTTCTTCATGACTCAGCCTTACACAGTCTAATTACCATTTAACTCATTCCTCTGAGTGCCAGCTGAGCACCATGCTCTCTGTCCCCAAAGCTCTCAGGTGCCCGCCACACAGTGGTTACCATGGCAATAGACGCACTCACCCATCTCAGGACATACCTGTATGGCATTTTCGTGTTCTCTGTTTTGCACAGCTCTGCTTCTTAGGGAGTTGTTTCCTGATGTGTTCTGGTTTTTATGAATGTCTTCTTCATTCTAAAAACAAAATACAGTTTGCAAAAATAAAGTTTCAGAGCCAAAACATATGTTTTTTCAGTAAGCGATGCCTAAAAGACTTTTTCTTTTTATTAAATTTATTGGGATGACATTGGTTAATAAGTTATGAGTTTCAAGTATATATTTCTGATACATTATCTGCATATTGCATTGTGTGTCCACTTCCCAAAGTCAAATCATCTTCTGTCACCCTATATTAGACCCCCTTTACCCTTTACTACCCCCTCCACCCCCCTTCCCTCTGATAACCATGCTGTTGTCTGTGTCTATAAGATTTTGTTTGTTTGTTGCTTTCAGTTTTATGTTCCACATATGAGTGAAATTATATGGTTCTTAACTTTTTCTGTCTGATTTATATTGCTTGGTATGATATTCTTAAGGTTCATCCATGTTATCACAAATGGCAGTATTTCATCTTTTCTTATGGCTGAGTAGTATTCCATTGTATATATGTATCACATCTCCTTTATGCAATCATCTATCAAAGGACACTTCGGTTGTTTCCATGTCTTGGCCACTGTGAATAATGCTGCAATGAACATAGGGTCCATATGTCTTTGCAAATAAATGTTTTCAAAATTTTCAGGTAGATATCCAGAAGAGGGGTTGCTGGGTCATATGGTAACTCTATTCTTACCTTTTTGAGGAACCTCCATACTGTTTTCCAAAGTGGCTGTACAGCTTACATTCCCACCAGCAGTGAATGAGGGTTCCTTTTTCTCTACAACCTAACACAAGTTATTACTTGTCTTATTAATAATAGCCATTCTAACAGGTGTGAGGTGGTATCTCATTGTAGTTTTGATTTGCATTTCCCTAATAGCTAGTAAAGTTGAGCATCTTTTCACATATCTGTTGGCAATTTGTATATCTTCTTGGGAAAAGTGTCTGTTCAGGTCATCTGCCCATTAAAAAAAAATTAGATTGCTTGTTTGACGTTGAGTTGCATAAGTTCTTTATATATTTTGGATAGTAACCCCTGTCAGAACTGTTGTTTGCAAATATCTCCTTCCATTTGGTTGATTGCCTTTTGATTTATTGGTGGTTTCTTTTGCTGTGCAGAATCTTTTTAGTTTGATATAGTCCCATTCATTTATTTTTGCTTTTACTTCTCTTGTTTTGGGGGCCAAGTTCATAAGATCTTCTCTAAGATCAATGTTCATAAGTTTAGCCCCTATGTTTTCTTCTATGTAATTTATTATTTCAGGTCTTATATTTAGGTCTTTGATCTATTTTGAGTTAATCTTTGTGTATGACGAGAAACAGCATTCTAGAGCTGGGTTGGCAAAGATGAGATGTTTAGATGAGTCAGCTGATTAAAGGAAGAACCAGTGAATCTTGGCTCATAAAGAAACATAGATAATCTTTGTTTTGTTCTGTTCTGATAGAAAAGATTGGTGTGGCCCACCTTGAGGAAGGGAGAAAGGAAGACAGCTGCCCTTGTCTAAGCCACGTCGATCTGTAACAAGCAGAGCTGAGGCGAAGGTGCAGGTTTCCGGTCTCCTTTCCATCACCTCACACAGGTTTCAACTTACCAAGTAGTAAACCGTTTGTACTATGGATACTTTTATTCATACATGTTGAATTTATGAGAAATGAAAGTGTGTCTTGTTTGGCTTAAAGCAATCTGTGGTAGTAATGAGAATTAGAAAATACCTTCTTTTATGAGGCCCTCTTGATTTTACTCTAAGGAACGGGGTAAGGTTTGCTCTTGGAGGGGGTTTCCTGACCCCTTAGTGCTACTTCCAGATGTGACAAACACCTGGCTCATTTCTCTTTTACCTTTTTTTGGGGGGAGGGTCCAATCTCTCTCCCATCTCATCCCAATTTGCCTTTTTACACGCTACTTCATTCCAAGTCAGGCAACTGATAGGTAAGTAGTGCCAGGTTGGTCCCTGTCTCTTTCGGAAATGTGCCCTGCTAGCTCTGTTGGCTGTGACCTTGTCTTTGAAAAAAGAACAAATGCACGGCGTTCATGTTAGCTTTGGATCTCTGGATGGCCCCAAGGACCTAAAAAAAAATGGCAATTCCCGTTTGTGTTGCGTTTTCCAGTTATTGAAACTGAAGAGTATATAAACATGACTAAAATCTAACTGCCAGCACATACATGACTTATGTATAAGTCTTGTTGTCAAAATGCCCTTTCGTGTTACAGTTGTTCCTGTCTTTAGCACCATTCCTTGTGCTTAGCAGGCACGAACAATTATTTGTTGAATTAATTAACCGCAGTGATTTTAATGTTGCACTAACTAGTACAGTAGTGAAGTACCTCTGGGTATTCCCTAGCAAATCTCGTAGTTGTGGGGGGACAAAATAGATAGTACGGAAGGATGACAAAGTGTTGCTAATTGCTGAAACTGGCTGATGGGTACTTAGGGACTCATTTTACTATTCTTACTTTCATGAATGCTGACAATTTCTTTAATAAAACGTTAAAAATAAAATCCAGCAGGAGTTGGTGGAAAAAATGGGACACAGGTAATGGAAGGGGCTGGTCCTCAGGATCCCTAATTATAAGCGCGACACTGGGCAGGTCACATCTTTTTAAGTCTCAGTCCACCCATCTCTACGACACAGTTTCGATTAGGTGTTCTTATGGTTCCTTCCAGAAGCCTGACATTTACCCATTCCATGAGGAGCATCAGCTTCTCAATGCCGATTACTCCTGTCACCTGGTGGCAGAATGTGGGGCTTTCCTGTGACACACAGGATGGAGCCTACCTTTTCGAAGTTGAAAAAGAGGAAGGGGTGTGCATGGGTGTGTGTATGGAGTGGAGAGCGGGCATGAGTGATGACAGATGTACCTCTGAGTGTGTTGTACTATGTCATGGGGTTGTTTTACCCCGGTAGAGTGCACACCTTAACTTTTTAGCGTTTCCAGGAAGAACAATGCCTCCTATTTGAGGATTTCCAACAGAAATAATGGGAGTGTTCGTGTGGGTGTTGATTGGTGCCTGAAAAAATGACCCATAAGACACATGCGTCTCTGCTTCTTTTCAAATGGGAGTCCTGGGGCTGTAATAGGCGGCTCATAATTACCTCTTAGCCCATTGTTTTCCCCACCTACTCAGCAATTCTGATTCCTGGATCCCTTCGCCCTCCCTGGGACTCCTACAGTCATGACTGTGTTCTAAGCGCAAACCTGCCACTCCGCTGAATGAGTTACAACACTGTGGGTGTCGGGTATAAGTACTTCTAAACAGTTCACAGCACGACACTTTCGATTTCTCAACTTAACGTTATTGCTGGGGTCCTGAGGATGATGATCCTGGACAGAGCCCCCTCCAGAGGGCAGATCCTGGAGCCCGGAGTACATTGGGCCTGGGCTTTCTCTCCTCCATGTTGCACTTTTCATGCTGTCCAAGCAACTACAGATCCACAGTGAGTGTTGCAGGGAGTACAGATGGACAGAGACCTTTTTAAAAGTTGATTTCTTCTTTTCATTCCGTTTCTAAACCATATTATCACTTCCAGAATACAGGAAATGACTGAAACACCCCCATCTATTTGTGATGTCCCTTTCCATAGGGCTTTAGCTGAGCTCATGGCCACCCGGAATTAAGGCTCCGTTTCCAGGATTCCCACCTCCCCAGCTTCTGGCCAATGGAGCGTGAATGGAAATGGCTCTTTGTCCCTTTGATCTTTTCTTCTGCCCTGCAGTCCGGAGTGTCGATGGTCCCACCTGGACCGAGAACACGGTGCCGTGCTGGTGATGTCAGAGTGGTGAGTTGGGGTTTGGGGGACTTGGGCCCCCGAAAGCCGCCAGCAGTGCTCCCCTTCCTTCTCTTTACTACCCACGTCCTGACGTTTATCTGCAGGAAACAAACTTCCTCCTTGCCGCTTTGGGGCTTGCTGTTGTCTGCACCTGGGCTGATACACTGGGTTAAACCCTTTACAAGGTTTGTGTTTGATCCTGAGAGTCCTGTGAGGTGGCTACCATGACCCCTCTGTACAGATCAGGAAACTAAAGCAAAAATAAGTAAATCACTTGACCCGAGTTGTACAGCCAGAAATAGCTGAGGTGGGATCTGAGTTCACACTGTCCAACCTCAGGCCACATCATTCCCGTAAACTCTGACCCCGGGGCCAAGGTCCTTTGACTTTGGAAATATGTAAAGACATCGTAGTACACCCACTGATTAAATTCCCCTTTGATTAAGAAAGCTGGAGTTGAACTCTAGATGTAAAAGACAGGAGTAGAGATGATAGAGGTGGTTCCAGAAATGCTTGTGGCCATGTTTGGACTACATTTAGGCTCTGGAAGTCATTTCTCAAGCCAGAATTTCCCGAGCCCCACCCTACAGACTGATTTTAGGTAGAGTCTACCCCAGAGGTTCTCAACCTTCCTAATGCCGTGACCCTTTAATACAGTTCCTCATGTTGTGGTGGCCCCCAACCATAAAATTATTTTTGTTGCTACTTCATAACTGTAATTTTGCTACCGTTATGAATCACCATCAGAAATATGTGTTTTCCGATGGTCTTAGGCCACCCCTGTGAAAGGGTCGTTTGACCCCAAAGGGGTCGCCATCCACAGGTTGAGAAAACTCTATCCTTAAACAGCACGAGTGAATACTCTTGCCCTTGTGCACGTGTCATCTCCGATTCGTCTGATGTTCTCTCTTCTTCCACCAAGTCTGCTCCACTCACACAGTGTCCCCACCACAGTGGCCCTGACTTCACAACACGGCTTCCATTTCTCAGTTTCTGTGGCCAGGGTTTCTCTGTTGGAGACTCGGCATTCCTGTGACAGCAGAGTCACTCTTCCTCCTTCCCACAGAAAGTGCTGTGGCCTGGCGTTGCTCTGAAGGGATTCGTGGCCTTGCTGAGGGGAGACAGCAGGCTTGACCGGGGCAAGATGCACCTGTACGCCAGGGAGACGTTCATCCTGACCTTGGCGGAACACAGCCCATGCTGGTTTATGGAGGATGGGAATGGCCCAGTGGGCAAATGCAGTGCGTGATGGACCCTGAGGAGAT